CTCAATGAAATATTCAAAGCAAAACCAAAATACGAAATGAAAAATGCCAGTGATTTTTCGAGTTTGTATTATTATGTCAATTCTGCGGTGTTCTACTTGGCAATGCTTGATTATCCATATCCGGTTAATTTCCTCGAACCGCTTCCTGGATTTCCGGTTAAAGTAAGCTTTTTTACGACTAAAAAAATCAGCCAGAATTGTACTCATATTTCATGCAAGAATCTGATAAACACTAATCTTACAACAGTCTTTTGTTGTGAAACGTGGTCACTGACGAAAGCAGAAAAAAGCACTGAAAAAAGATGGACGATTAGAGCATGTGTATATCCTATATCCTCAGAAGATCGTCGCCTGTATTTGCGAACAGCAAATTATAAAGTTATCAGTGATTAATATGAATTTAGTATGCATGTACTTATGCGAAATCGGCGCCATCGGATAATGTGGCATTGGCCAAACAGTTATATGAAGTCATCAATGTTTATTACAACTATTCTGGAACTCTTGATTATCATTGCTTTACGAGAGACTGCCCAGATACAACCGCAGGATCACTTGATGTTGGCCTGGGATGGGCTTGGCAGGTTGGTTTTCCGTAATAATCTGTGTACTTCGAATACCTAGTGATATGAAAATTATAGGCATATAAATTGTAAGTATCTTTGACCAGGAGATCGGAGAATTAATAAATGTAGTTAGGTTATCGTGGCATGAGAAGCCAAGCCAATAATCAGATTTTGATAATTTAAAGGAAACAACCAGAAGCGACATTTAGGTCTGACATATTGACAAGCCTCTAGTTACCGTGATTTGGTATCCGCCTGCCCGCGTTTCATCCCTAAGTTGTGAATACAAACAACAGTTATCGGTGCGAAATAGAATAGAAATCATCAGTACAGTACTTCCGTTTCCCCATTTGATGAGGAATATGTAGATTGTCTGGGCGAGACCCACTAAACAATCAGTATGCGGTCCCCATCTTAGCGGTATTACTGGAATTGCAGCAATACTAAATCGGTGCAATAGTAATCAATATTTATGATATTCATTAAGTGATAATTAAAACGAAGTTTTT